ATACTTTAATGAAAGAAAATAAGAAAGTTATCAACTTAAAGTAGAATACGACTCTTGACTCTTTTAAAAAACAAAGAAGATAGAAAATATGATTGAGCAAGGGTGATGTTTTTCCAGAAAACAACTTCGATATTTATTGGAAAATATAGCTTGATCAAAACGCCACAACCTCCACTACTTACGCCACTACTGCTGCACATCAACGCCACTAATCTCCACCACTTCCAGAGTTTCAAACATGTCCTAGAACCCAGGGCACGTTGAGCCTCATTGAAGTAGTTTCTTTATTAAGTGGAGAAGACTTAGGGCCTGTTCACCCATTTACTAAGCTGAACTGAACTGAACTGATTGGAGCTGAACTGAACTGAACTGAACTAAATAAAGCTGAAATGAATATTTTATGAGAGAATTAGGGAAATTAGGAGCTGAACTAAATTGATAGGAGCTGAACTAAACTGAACTGAAATTAAACTGAAGTGAACGGGCCGGGCCCTTAATCAACATTAGTTGCGGAAGTTTAGGAGATCAGTTATGCAAGCTTTTTGAAAGATATTTTTTTCGAAAATAAAAGATATTAATTTGAGATCAAATTAGATAAAGATATTTTCAATAACAAACTTCCCTATAATTCAGCAATCTTTAAATTCTATCTAGCTAAAACCAATTTTAATCGCATTCTACTAAGCATCCAACTTCAAATTACTTTCACTTACATAAAACCTTAAATATAAAATACTTTAGAGTTTATAATTTCTCTTAGGAAGTCTCTGCTCCAAGCCTTCATTCTCCCACTTCTTCTCCAGAGCTTCTGTTCCTTCAAAGGAACACTGCTACTAATCTTCTGTTTCTGTAAGCTTCAGTTCCTTTGCCTCGAATAGCTCTGCAATCTTTGACTTATCAAACTACACAACTTATCAAGACATTAGTCCAATCATAAGTTTGACTTGTGTTATCATCAAAACATCAAGGGCAACAAATTATATTATTCGAAAGATAATTATATCATTTAACAAGTACAAAAGTTGGCCTGGGATTATTATATAATAATCCTTAGTTGGGATTATTCTAGGTAAATCACCCGATTAATTATTGTAGTTGCTTTAATTTTAATAATGGTTCAAAACTCAAAAAATACCTACTTGTATCCATCCATACCTTATAAAGGTACAAGATTCCTCTTTTGAATAGTATGATGTCAATTATATCATTCAAAATGTGTAAACATAATTCCAGCAAAGGCTTAATCATGAATTATACGGCCTAAGGCCAAAGAGGGGGGAGGGGGGGCTTGAATGAGATCAATCTGATTTCCTTGAGAGATACCCTTGTTTGCCAGCCAGTCAGCAGTCCTGTTGCCTTCCCTATAGACATGCTTTACAAGGAGATGCGGCATGCATATGCTATGAAGCTTTGGGTGTGCAACTCATTTAAGGCTGAGTATGTTATTGAGCTGGAAAGGTGAATGGGGATTCCTGCAAATTCAGATGGATAACAAGGCTGCTGTGTTGGCTTTAAATTAGTAAGTAAAATAATTATAATGTTAGGACAAGCAATTAACACAAGTTAATTTAAGACATTGACACTTTTTACTATGTTATGTCTTCCAGTTTTCACTTCACTTCCCTCATCCTAATTACTTGTCTTACGACATTAACATATCCACCTCTGCTTCTGCTTCTGCTTCATGCCTTGGCGGCAGTGTTGGATTCTTGATGTCTCATGTGTCCTTCGACCGCCACCAGAAGTTTCCTCGGTAGATATATTCGAATGATTCGGAGCATTCTCAGAGATTGTAGCTGTGTACTGTCATTGTTAATATTTTCATAGGCACAAATTCTGTTATCAGTTGTTCCATACTCTGACAAATTGATGCAGCATTTTCAGCTGACCAGCCAAATTTTTCTTTGATCATCTCCATGACTTGCAGAATTGTATAAGTTTCGAGTGAGAAATCAAACTTATTCCTCTTATGATCATAATCTATGAAGTCCATGTGTATCATTTTGCGGTCCTTCACTTTTCCTTTCAATCCAAATTTCTTATTTCCTTTGTCATCATCAATTACCTTTTCTATTTCCCTTTCATATTGCAGTACTGGTCTTAGCCTCTAATCACTCGAGCCAGGAGGCGGGAATTCCACTATACTAGTTAGTCTCAGATTCGGAAAACTACATCCTATTAAATACATGCTAGGATCCTCAATACTCAGTTCAAGAAACGGATCATTCAAGAGCTCAATCGCAGTACGTCTGACATCTACACCACCTACACACTTCTGAATGAACTCCTAAAGCTCTTGGTCAATCACTCTCAAATTAGTTAATTATAGACTAACGAGATGAGAGGATTAAAAATTAAAGAGGTGGTACATATACTTGTAAAAAAAGAAAAACAAATTGCATAATCTCAAACTTTTAAAATCTTACAACTAAATTTACCAATGTTCATATATGTAAATCACACATTTACAAATGTAAATCGATCAAATAAGAAATAAAAGAACTTAATCTCAGTTCGTTGGACCTAATACTGAGAACTCATACTTATTGACACACTAAGTATCACTAACATATCTAGAATTATTCAGAACATTTCTGTACTATGACATAAACCAAACTCTAATTTTGTACTAAACAATTAAACTGATGAATCCAATTAAACTGACGAATCCAGAAATAAGCTATTGACATGCCAAGATATAACAGATTTCTGAAGCAACTATATTCTGTCTTCCTGTTGCCATTTCCCTCATCTTAATCACTCCCATCAGACGTCTCACCTTGCAAGTGCTTCCTGATCATCCAAGTTGAAAATATCATATCTTTCACAAAATTATTGAAAAATAAATTTTAATTGGGATTATTAGAAGTAAATCGCATATAGTTAAGATTATTAAAATGTATTTATTCCATGTATATCATATCTTTCACAAAATTATATCTTACCATGAATTCATATGTACCTCGTAGTATATTTATCTTTTTCTGTTAAAATCTATTGTGACTAAATGATATATACTCCCATATTTATCTATCAGCTATACAGTTTAACTTTTTTTTAAATGTGATTATATCATATCGAATATGATTATATCATTTAAAAACTGATTATGTAAATGTATCATTTAAAAAGTGAATTTATTATTAAAAAAGTATTAATCAGTAACTATGTTACTTTAGAAGAATACTACAAGAGGGGGATGAATTGTAGTACGAAGGGAATTAGCCAACTTTTTGCGGAAATATAAAAACTAAGCTAATGGAACTCAAAGTCACACAAAGAGATTTTAGCGTGTAAAACTTCTTGGCTCTAACAAGAAGAAACACCATGACCACTTGGGATTTTGGGAAATATTCTTTACTAGAATAGGGAAATCAACCTATTACAAGCTAAAAACTCTATCTCCAAGCTCCTCAACGAACTTGAAGTTCCAAACCGTAAGTCCGATCCCTCAACATGTTGCTCTTCTCTTCTTTTTCTCTTTTCACTCTTTTTCTATTGACTTCTCTAGAGTTCACTTAAACTCCCAATCCCCAATTACAACTCTTGAAAGAAATACTTTAGTGAAAGAAAATAAGAAAGTTATCAACTTAAAGTAGAATGCGACTCTTGACTCTTTTAAAAAAACTAAGAAGATAGAAAATATGATTGAGCAAGGGTGATGTTTTTCCAGAAAACAACTTCGATATTTATTGGAAAATATAGCTTGATCAAAACACCACAACCTCCACTACTTACGCCACTACTGTTGCACATCAACGCCACTAATCTCCACCACTTCCAGAGTTTCAAACATGTCCTAGAACCCAGGGCACGTTGAGCCTCATTGAAGTCGTTTCTTTGTTAAGTGGAGAAGACTTAGGGCCTGTTCACCCATTTACTAAGCTGAACTGAACTGAACTGATTGGAGCTGAACTGAACTGAACTGAACTAAATAGAGCTGAAATGAATATTTTATGAGAGAATAAGGGAAAATAGGAGCTGAACTGAACTGAAATTAAACTGAAGTGAACAGGCCCTTAATCAACATTAGTTGCGCAAGCTTAGGAGATCAAGTATGCAAGATTTTTGAAAGATATTTTTTTCCGAAAATAAAAGATATTAATTTGAGATCAAATCAGAAAAAGATATTTTCAATAACAAACTTCCCTATAATTCAGTAATCTTAAAATTCTATCTTAAACCAATTTTAATCGCATTCTACTAAGCATCCAACTTCAAATTACTTTCACTCACATAAAACCTAATATATAAAATACTTTAGACTTTATAATTTCTCTAGGAAGTCTCTGCTCCGAGTCTTCATTCTCCTACTTCTTCTCCGAAGCTTCTGTTCCTTCAAAGGAACGCTGCTACTAATCTTCTGTTTTTGTAAGCTCCAGTTCCTTTGCCTCGAATAGCTCTGCAATCTTTGACTTATCAAACTACACAACTTATCAAGACTTTAGTCCAATCATAAGTTTGACTTGTGTTATCATCAAAACATCAAGGGCAATAAATTATATTATTCGAAAGATAATTATATCATTTAACAAGTACCAAAGTTGGCCTGGGATTATTATATAATAATCCATAGTTGGGATTATTCTAGGTAAATCACCCGATTAATTATATAGTTGCTTTAATTTTAATAATGGTTCAAAACTTAAAAAATACCTACTTGTATCCATCCATACCTTATAAAGGTACAAGATTCCTCTTTTGGTTAGTATGATGTTAATTATATCATTCAAAATGTGTAAACATAATTCCAGCAAAGGCTTAATCATGAATTAAAGGCCTAAGGCCAAGGGGGGGGGGGTGGGCTTGAATGAGATCAATCTGATTTCCTTGAGAGATACCCTTGTTTGCCAGCCAGTCAGCAGTCCTGTTGCCTTCCCTATAGACATGCTTTACAAGGAAGATGCGGCATGCATATGTTATGAAGCTTTGGGTGTGCAACTCATTTAAGGCTGAGATGATGGCAGTAGAGTATGTTATTCTAATGATTCGGAGCATTCTCAGAGATTGTAGCTGTGTACTGTCATTGTTAATATTTTCATAGGCACAAATTCTGTTATCAGTTGTTCCATATTCTGACAAATTGATGCAGCATTTTCAGCTGACCAGCCAAATTTTTCTTTGATCATCTCCATGACTTGCAGAATTGTACAAGTTTCGAGTGAGAAATCAAACTTATTCCTCTTATGATCATAATCTATGAAGTCCATGTGTATCATTTTGCGGTCCTTCACTTTTCCTTTCAATCCAAATTTCTTATTTCCTTTGTCATCATCAATTACCTTTTCTATTTCCCTTTCATATTGCAGTACTGGTCTTAGCCTCTAATCACTCGAGCCAGGAGGCGGGAATTCCACTATACTAGTTAGTATCAGATTCGGAAAACTACATCCTATTAAATACATGCTAGGATCCTCAATACTCAGTTCAAGAAACGGATCATTCAAGAGCTCAATCGCAGTACGTCTGACATCTACACCACCTACACACTTCTGAATGAACTCCTAAAGCTCTTGGTCAATCACTCTCAAATTAGTTAATTATAGACTAACGAGATGAGAGGATTAAAAATTAAAGAGGTGGTACATATACTTGTAAAAAAAGAAAAACAAATTGCATAATCTCAAACTTTTAAAATCTTACAACTAAATTTACCAATGTTCATATATGTAAATCACACATTTACAAATGTAAATCGATCAAATAAGAAATAAAAGAACTTAATCTCAGTTCATTGGACCTAATACTGAGAACTCATACTTATTGACACACTAAGTATCACTAACATACCTAGAATTATTCAGAACATTTATGTACTATGACATAAACCAAACTCTAATTTTGTACTAAACAATTAAACTGATGAATCCAATTAAACTGACGAATCCAGAAATAAGCTACTGACATGCCAAGATATAACAGATTTCTGAAGCAACTATATTCTGTCTTCCTGTTGCCACTTCCCTCATCTTAATCACTCCCATCAGACGTCTCACCTTGCAAGTGCTTCCTGATCATCCAAGTTGAAAATATCAGCATACCGTCTAATTATTTCTTCAGAAGTGTCGGATTCATGGTGTACATTTGCAATAGGCTCAATTAATACATCGTTAAATTCAGACATGACCTGTTCAACCCCTTGAACCATCCAACGGATGTTTTCCTCTGACATGCCAATTAATTCGCCTCTTAATCTGTCCATTTCTGGAAGGGTATCAGTACCGAGTGTGAACAAAAATTCAACATCATCAATACTCCTCAGTGTCACAGACAGTTCATTGCCCACCCTTTTTCCTATGAGTACTTTTTTCGTAGGATCATCAGTAGGAGGCGGTGCGGGTAATCTAAGCACATGAGCTCGGACACCAGGAACAGGTATAGTAACTGACTGCATTAACCCTTTGCTCAACAAATTACCTAAAGAAGCTTTCAGTTCCTTACTGTGCAAACACATGTCAACGAACCCTTTCAGCTTTGGGGGTTTTATTGCATCTAATGCCCTGTCAGGATCTGCATACTTCTGGCTAACACGTATCATAAGAAGTACACACAGTCCCAAAGAACGCAACTCGGAATATTGTGCTTCTTTTACATGATCCAAATCAGAATCAGACTTCAGAAAAGACTTTGCAGAAGTCAAGTCTGCTATCTTGACAATGCTTGAAGTTCCCGAAATTGCAATGTCATTCAAATTTATGTCAGAGTGCACAATCACTGGATCTTGTTCATGTAAAAACTGCAAGCCTAACAAAATCTGTTTACACCACCTAGCAATGCAAGTTTCTTTGTGTTCCCCCAAAATCTTATGAATCTTGCAATATTCCCCCAAATTATTAGAATAATACTCGGTGATCATATGGAGTACAGCAACGCCATCCTGTAAATCAATCCAATGCTTAAAAACTTTCAAGAGATAATGAGAATTAGATTTGCAAAGCATATCACATTCTGCCACCAAAGCCCTAAAGCTACTTTCTGTAACAGTCTTCTTTATCCAAGCCACTTCTTTCCCATTAAGCCTATCATATCCCTTGAATACAACTTTTGACGTAGATTCTTAGATCACATTATTATATCTTGAGTATTGCCCCGATGGATCGGTTTCCATGATCGTATAATCGTCTCCTCTCCCTCCACGTGAACTCGAAGCCGCCATTACTAGTTAATAACAACAGCAAAACAGAACGAAAGAAAGAATTGCAATGGAATCAAGCTAATTAAGTTGATTTCTGAAGATGGAATTCTTGTTGGGTTATCAGGAGAAAAACAGAACGTTTGAAATAATGGGTTGAAGATGAAATGAATAACCAATGGTAGTGTACAAGGGTATTTATAATAGTTAGTGTTTGGTTCGTTGTTACTTATAATCAAACTATTTTATATATAAACCGATTAATATTCAATTTATCCATTTGTTGTAGTTAGTTAAGTCAGTTATCAAGATCAAGAATTAGAAAATCCCCTTTCTTGATTTTAATTTTTATTTTTAAAAATATCTTTAATTTGCCCTTCAATATTTCTTTTATTTGTTTAACAGTTTTTATTAAAATGACTAGTTTATAACTAGTTTAACTACCAAAAAATCGTTTGTGGAAAATACTGAAAGATGTGACTTGTGACTTGTGACTTGTGAGATCTGATATATATGAAATAACAATATTGAAAAATGTTAACATTTTTGTGAAGAAGGTTTTTCCATTAACTAGCATAGACCTGCGCCCATCGTTTTGTGTTGGATCGTTATTGTATGTCGAGAAATCGCCAAGTGAGTCTAATTGTTGATTTTTTGTTATTGCAGGAAAATGAATCAATAAGTAAAGGTGGATTTTTTTTTTGAAGCAATAAAAGGTGGAATTATTTATAAGAGTTTTATTGATACTAGTTGAGCAATCACTCGCAACGCGCGCATAGCCCTAAAATCAGGTGTGGATATTATGTATCGTTAGCACATAATAACTATTGTTGAACCTAAGCGCAACCCAAGGTTAGACTCCAAACACATTATGAGCCCTAAATACACAACTAAAGCCCAATCTGAATATCAGACTGAAAAATATTTTTAAAATCTAGGGTTTTTCTAAGCTATGCCCCTAAACTTCTTCGGTTTCTAAGTCGTGTCCATGTTTTTTCAAACGTCTAAGCTGTGCCCTCAACCTCACTATTTTTAATTAGCAATAACCTTTGACGTTAACATTAATTAACCAGGACATTAGGGTTTGTTAATTTTTGTTCCTAGTTACTTATTAAAAACATCAAAAAAAAGTTACAAAAACAAAAACATAAAAAAAATTAAAAAAAATAAACAAAATTTCCCCCACCGCCAAACCCTAACCCCTCCCCTAAACTCGCCGGAAAACCGGCCGACACTCCACCTTAACCACCTAAACTGGTCGGTCGGTACTGTACCTCCCCATCTCATCCACCCCTGATCTCCTCCCTTTCCCCTAACCCCCGCTACATCCACATTTTTTCTCGAAACCCCAACCAACCAACCACCCTCGTTCCTCTGTTAAACCACCACGAAACAACCCCCAACTCCCTTTCCCACACACCGAAACGACGAGGGAGAGTCGTTTTGAGGCGGGGGAAGGAATTGTTGGCTATTTCGCGATGATTGGTGTAACACCCTTTTCTTTAAAATACTTGTTTTGTCCTTTTTTAAAATACGAAATAGGAAAATCTAAGACATTACCGTCACCGTGAAAACGCCTAAGACAAATATCAAAGACGACACACCGCGGAAGATTACTTTTTAAAAACCATTTAAAACAAGTCAACTTTCAAAAAGTCAAACGAAGAAAGTAAAGTCAAAATAAGACAACTAAAGTCAACCTACAACTTGGAACCATTGTAGGCCCTTAAAACCAAACAAATATTTAAAACCTTCGCGTTAGTCTCATCAACACAATAAATATAATATTCAAAGCAATTAAACACATCACATTCCTATAGGAACTAAGCATGATTCGCTCTTCACTCATCCCCATCATGCAAATGTTTCGTCACCTGAAAAGCTCCACTTTACTTGTCCCCACTACTCGCCATTAGGAATGGGTCGTCGTTGGGCCAAGGTAAAGACAAGGCCAAACAAACATGCAAAAACACAATCACCAATGCCGAGTACATAAGCGTAATAAAACACACTAACATGCTTTCATCCTATCAACACACAACTTACCTTGTTGCACCTGTTCACAAGCATACAAGACCTAACTAGACAAATACATACTAATATTTATTTAATTTAATTACGCATCGAACGGGTTTCCAACCAACTACCTGCCTCAATAAATTGAGGTAAACTACACCGGGAGCTGACCGGGTAGGCAAATGTCACATGAAGTGACTCGACGTCCGATCCTGCGCATTATAAAAAATATAAAGGAAAATACAGCGTCCTGTACTCCTAGTAGAAGTTATGGTCAAATATAAAGTCGCATAACTCCCCCCATATGTTCATACTCAAGGTACATACGTTCTAAAAGTTTTGGTGCGTAATCTCTTTCACTTTACGTTATTTACATATTACTAAACTTGGTGATAAATCTCAAACCATACACAATCAAACATTATAATTCATTCAAGCAATCAAACATACCAAATTTAATTCTTGAATAATTAGTGACCACATAAATTTAATGTTAAACCCTTTTTAAACTAGCTCGGTGTTAATAACACCTTAAGTGCATAAGGCACCGCAAATCCTATCCCTCGGTGTTAGAAACACCTTAAGTGCATATAGGCCCTGCAATATAGTTTATTCCCGTGTACTAAGACATTTACATAGCTCCTTCCTCATGCTTATAGCATCAATAAAAATTATATGAACCATCATAAAATTCCCTTTTTATATTCCAAACCAAATTAAACATTTAGTTTAATTAAACATGCTCTCTGACATGACAATAATAAAAGTGTAGTTCATATTCAACATGCCAATATAATTAATTCCAATCACCAATTCATCATGAACAATTCATACATCACAAATCATTCACCAACATCAATCCAATCAACATATTCCATCCAACACCTATCATGATACTACTTGGAATTAATTAAACAAAGCCTAGCATGCTCCTATACACTTAAACTAACATTACCAAGTACGCGAACATACCTTGAATATGATCTCAAAATCGCCACGACTAAATAAAATTACTCACTTGGAAGTCTCCTACAAACCAAAATTATAAAGAAGTATTAATAACTCTTTTACGCAAATTTCCAGCAATATACACTTCTTTAAATCACTCATAAACCCTTTAAAATAATCTGAAATTTAATTTGAAACCCTTACTTTTATTCCCAATTAATGGGTAATTAAAAATCCTTTCAAGAACCCTACTTATAACCTTTATATAAAAAATTCCAACTTTATTCAACCATCAAAAAATGCTATAATTATGTTTAAGAACATTAATTTCAATAGTTTAAATTACCCGCAATCCAATTCCATCAATACTCATTAATTTAGAAACCTAGGGTTTTCAATTTGGGGTTTTTTAATTAAAAACTAAATCTGAAAATTTATAAATAAAATACTCATTATTAAACATCCTAAAGTCGTCACAAAACCCAAAAACAATAATTTGATTTAGGGTAGAATTAAATAAAATAAAAACAATAATAATAAAAAAAAAATTCAACACCACCGGCGCACACAACCACCAGGGTTAGTTGATGTCGCGCCACCTGGTGGCTGCTGCTGCCGGCGAGGGGTGTTGGTGGTGGTGGTCGGCCGATGGTGGCGTATGGTGGGCGGTCGGTGTGTGGTGTGTGTGGTGATTAAAACATTAAAATTAAAAATAAAGGGGAAGGGGAAAAATTAAGGAGATAAGAAAATAAGAGGAGAGAGAGAATTTACCTTTGGGTGCATTCCACCCTAAGCATATGATGGGTATTTATACCCCCTCTCAATAACACTCCTTACTTAAAATTCTTTTACTATCCTTAATGATCCCTTTCCTAATCAAACTTGTATTTTGACTTTCCATAAATACCATTGACTTTAAAATTTATCCTTTTATAAAATAATATGCCCCAATATTTCCAAATCATGAAATAAAATATTTTCAAGATTATTTAATAATTAAAATATACGTTTAATCAAAATCATTCTTTTTAAATTAATGAAAACCCTAAATAATTCATTTCGAATTATTTAAGTATTTTAATAAATACTTATTTAAATTATAAATATGTATAAAAATACGGGGTATTACAGTTGGTGGTCGATTTTTCTAGGTTGGTCGGTTTTTTGGGCTGGGTTGCGTCACGTGGTTATGTTCGTGGAGTGTTAAGGAAGGAAGGAAGGCGTGGCTCGCCGGTGGGAGGAATTTTCTGGGCGAGGGTGGAAAGTCGGTTGCCGGCAGCGACGACGTGGACTGATGGGCTGGGTTGTGGTGGTGGGAGGGTGGATGGTTTTTTTTCAAATCAATTCTTAATTAAGTTTTAATTATTTTATATTCTGATTTTTTAATTTTTTTTAATTTTTTTAAAGTGTTAGACCAATTAGAACAGGACACGTGTCAAATTATTAACGCCTCTTAACTTTCGTTAACGAATATGGCTGTCAAAGAATATTGTTGATAAAATATCGTGAGGTGGAGGGCATAGCTTATAACTTTGAAAAAGCATGGGTACAGCTTAGAAATTCAATAACTTGGGGGCATAGCTTAAAAAAACCTAAAAATCTATTACGGAGTAGTAAATATCTTTCGGCCTAGGCAATCAACAATGAGTATTGAGTTGTACAAAAGCTCTCACAACTCACAAGTTTCACATTTTTCTTCATTGGCAAATAATATACTAGTATACTTCCTCCATTTCAAATTAAATAACACGTTTGACTTTTGACACTATTTATAGACTTTATTTTGATTAACTTTTGATATATAAATTAATAAAAAAAATAGATTGGTGCCCGTGCGATGCAATTTTTTTTCCGTAATTAATTTGTCATATAAAAAAAACAACTGGTTACGTAGAATAAACAAATCCATTGTGCAATGTGTATAAGAAAAATGAAATAATAATGGAGAAATTATTAAAACTAAAATTGAGAAATTAAAAATTAGAGTAGTTGATTAAGGGTGTGTTCAGCGCTAGCATTTGAATAACTTTTAGGTAGCTTTTAGTGGTTTGACCACTGACTTGGTCAAACCACTACTTCACAAAAAATGTGAGTGTTTGGCAAAGTAGTGGTTAGGGTACAGTAGCTTTTAGTGGTGGAGGTAGCTTTTATGAAAAGTTAAAAATATTAGCTTTTGAAGTTAGAGGTAGTTGTTGAAAATTTAATCTATAGTTTTAAAAATAAAATATTGATTTTTATATGTAACAGCTAGTCAACCGCTACTTTACCAAACATTCATACCTAAATTATCTATCTTCACAGCTAACAGTTTGTTGACAGCTAAAAGCTAACTACACAGCTAACAACTACCTTCAAAGCTAATAGTTACCTTCATAGCAATATTTTTCACTGTATTATTGTTACTTTTTGAAAAAAAAAATAATAAAAAAAAAAAAGAAAAAAACTACTAATACTCCATTTAAAGATATTTATTAAAGAGTTGAATAATATTTGTTCAAAAAAAAATTAGCTTAAAGTTTATAGAAGAATTAAGAATACCAATAAAAAAAAGGAATATATTTTTATAAAGATATTGTAAAATATTTGGAATATATTATTATAGTTGTATTATACAAATATTCTGGGAAAAAAAAGTTTGATTAAAATGGGAAGGGTAGTTTTGGAGGGGGAAAACAGCATCGGGAATTGATATGTGTCACTTTTTATAGTATTAAGTAAAGGTGGGCACGGGCCGTGCCGGCACGCGGGCAACACGGCCATGGCACGGCCCAAAACGAGCACGGCTAAGGCACGACACGGCACGGCAGTCCACCCGGACGTGGGCCGTGCCGTGAACACTGTTTAACGGCACGAGCACGGCACCGGCACGGCGAGTTGGCACAAGGCACGGCCTGCCGACACGGCCCGCCGACACGAGCCACCTTATTTATTTTACAAAATATATATTAATAAAATTATTAATAAAATACTTATTTATTTTACAAAAATATATATTAATAAAATAATTATTTATTTTATAAAATATATATTAATAAAATTATATTAAAATACTTATTTATTTTACAAGTTGTTTAATGTTTTTAAAAAATATATATTAATTTTTTCTTAAAAAAAAATAAATAAATTAAATTTGTCACGGTGGCCGGCACGTCACGACACGGCTGGCACATGGGCCGCGGTGTGCCAAAATTTGGCACGCACGGCCCGGCACAAGTCATGCCAGACACGGCACGGCACGAGCCACCACTAGGCACGGCCCGTGGCGCCCGGCACGACACGATGCCCACCTCTAGTATTAAGTTATTGATATGGTCATGTGAAATCTTGTTTAAATATTTTTAATGTGTATTATCAAATTATCAACTTTTTATAATTTTTACTTATGGTAATTAGATATATTTACGATTGAACTTATGCATTCGCAAACCTGATAAAATAAACGTGTCATCTAATTTGAACTAGAAAAAGTAGCATTAATGGTATGATTTATGTTATAAGTTTCATTTTGATTCATGTGGTGAAACATTTAAACATCGGAAATATGAACAGAGTGATTTTAGTTTCAAATTATTTCCTACTTAACACAAAAATTCATTTTCTAAAATTTAAAAAAAAAAACCGTTAAAAATGAAAGGAAACGTTTTACTTGAAAACCAACAAGAACTATTAATCAAGCGGCTATTAGCCTAACATTGTTGTATTGGTCAGAATGTTAGGCATTCAAGAAGAATCTAATAGAGGACCAACTCAACTAAAAGCCTAGGAATATGTTTTATACCTCACATGAGAGCCCTTTAGGCTTGAAATGTGGATGCAGGATGGGCCCTCTGCATACCTTGCGCGAAATATTCCACTTGAAAGTGGGGGGTTGATGAGATATGAACCCGTGACCTTTGTGTCACGTTGGCTCTGATACCATGTTAGAGGATCAACTCAACAAAAGCTTCCTCTACCAGAATCATAGTAGGAAGATTGAAGTAGAAGAGATGTGTATGTTGACATGAATGTGTTAGAACTAGGGGTGGGACTTTTCAAACCGAACCGTGAAACCGCCAATTACCGAACCGAATCATCACGGACCAAACCGTTTATAAACCGCTAATTTCAAACCGAAAACCGAACTGAACCGTATAATGTCAAACCGAAACCAAACCGAACCGCTTAATTATCAACCCGTTACAAACCGTAGACCGATAACAAACCGAACCGCTCAAAACTAAACCGAAAGGGAACCAAACCGAATGGTTATAAACCCGTTATTTACCCGAACTGTTTATAATCCGAAACCGTTTTAACCGTAGAAAAAATTGTTTAAACTAAACCATTTGTAACCCGCTAACCGTTTAAACCGGCCGTTTATGAACAAACCGTTTAAACTGCAGGAAAAACCGTTTAATCCGAACCGTTGTAATCCGCTAATCGTTTAAACCGAACCGCTATAACCCGTTAAACAGTTGAAACCGAACTCTTTTCAAACCGCAACCCGTTTAAACCGATCCGATTACAAAGTGGTTAATTCAAATTGAATTATTTACAACTTAAATACAATTAATGTTTAATGTAATTTAACCGTAGCCATTGGTAATTTAATATAAGATATACATCTAATATGTCGTTGTATTAGATTACAATGTAAAAAAGTTAATAAATGTGGATCTAATCAAACGGCTTAGGTTAATACAACGGCATATATTACCTAGGCGGCTAGGCCAACAGCATTATTGATGTCGTTTATTTATTTTAATTAATATAAAATGTTACGTGCTAGTATTAATGTATTATTATATACTTTAATTTAACAAAGGTAACAATAAATATAAATTTAAAATAAATAACTTTAATTATTCCAAAAAATACATTTCATCTACATTTTACATTAAAAATAAATAAGTTTAGGATTTACATTTTACATATGATCATAAAGTATCCTAAAAACAAAATTTAACCTAAAAGAACAATCCTAAAAACAAAAGGCAGCAATAATCTTGAAGTAGCAGCACAACACCCAGGAGCAGAAGAAATAGCAGCAGCAGGCAGGAACAAGCTCAGGCAACAATAGACAACAACTCAGCAGAAGCAGGCAACAATATAAGCAGAAGCAACCTAGCAGGAACAACAACCAAAAGGAGATAAGCAGCTCACAAAACATCAGTTCAACCAACTTCAGAACTAATTTTTGTTTTTAAAAATTGCTCTCAGATTTACGTTTATCGTATCATCAATTCATCACTGAGCAATGGTAGTTTTAACTTAAAACTTGAAAAATGCTGCCAGCAAGTACATATACATTGAAGTCTCAACATAAATGACAAGGGCAACGATGATTCAAGATAAATTAAAACAGTAAGCATAAGAAACAGCAGCAACAAAACTTATCATAACACAAAAGGCAGCAACAATACTAAAGCAGCAACACATCACCCAAGAGCAGAAGAAACAGCAGCAACCTCAAGCTTACAGGAGGCAGGAACCAGCTCAGGCAGCAACAGATTAGCAGCTTAGTAGAAGCAGGCGACAGAATAAGCAGAAGAAGCTCAACGTGAATTGTAACCAGATTTAAGTTTACAATTTTTTGTTTTAAAAATTGCTTTCAGATTTAAGTTTACAATTTCATCACCGAACAGTGGGTGTTTTAACCCAAATCTTGAAAAATGCTACCAGCAAGTCTAAAAATAAATGACAAGGGCAACAATTTTTCAAGATAAAATAAAACAACCACAGTGAGGTAACAACAACAAGTACATGTATAACAACGGCCACAGCAAGGCAATACCGCTGCACAAATACCTGTTATGTAGATGAAGCACTTTCTGCTTCAATCTCTTTACCAACAAGAAGGACATCTTCCTCAACATCCCCTTAATAACCACAACACCAATTCTGGGTGGTAACCAATGCCTCAACATTCTTCGGCAAAAGCTTACCTCTATTTTTGTTCAAAATACGTGTAATACCCCATATTTTTATACGTATTTTGATTTAAATAAGTATTTCCTAAAGTATTTAAATAATTTGAAATGAATTATTTAGGGTTTTCATTAATTTAAAAAGAATTATTTTAATATAAAGTTTATTTTTAATTATTTAATAATCTTGAAATTATTTTATTTTATGAATTGGAGATATTGGGGCATATTATTTTTTAAAAGGATAATTTTTAAAGTCAATGGTATTTAAGGAAAGTCAAAATCCTAGTTTAAGTAGGAAAGGGATTATTATGGGTAGTAAGTAGGAGGTTATGAGAGAGGGTATAAATGTCCATCATATGCCTAAAGTGGAGTGCACCTATAGATAAATTATCTCTCTCCTCTTGTTTTATTTTTCCCCTTAATTTTCCCCTTCCTTGATACGCCCAATAATCACCTCTACTCTGATTTTGGTATCTTCTGCTACTTATGTAGAGATTTCGAACGGCAATTATACGTTACAACTACTTCCCAATACTTAGTGATGGTTAATTTGGGCTCTTTTTTGTTTTTTGGTTTTTAAAGTGTGAGAATTTGTGCTGCAATAGCTATCTTATCGGTGGGCCTCATGTTTTCCATAGTCTTCTTTTGGGTCGTGTATATTTCAATTAGGCCTTATTGACTCTAAAATTCAAAGTGGATTGAATTTGAGCCTTGTCAACAAAAATTTGAACGAGTCTAATAGAACTCCATTGTTTGAGCCATTGAGATTTGAGGCCACTAAATAGCTACTTGTATTTTAAATAAACGACAATAATATGCGTCTAAAATTATGTACATATTCGTGACTGCCCCACACACACGTTTCCAAGTTTCCAATAGTGTGGAGGACTGGAGGGGGGTTACTACAATTATACAAATGGACAACTCGGCTTGTGGTAGTGGCTACTGGCTAGTATAAAAACAAAGAAAGTTGGTAGATCAACCTCAGGAAAATCAACAACTTTCAACAACTTTGTGCTTAATAAACAAACTAATAACATTAGATGCATAAACTTGACCCTCATTTGGAAAAAAGAATAAGAATATTACAAATAAATAGTGTATCAATGTCTAAGACCGGCAATGATTCGCCTAATTGGGTACATGGTCGATCGTGGATCTCATTACCTTCAATAGTCCTTCATATATACTTCTTACTAATAGTTTTTCAACTAAGAACGGCAATGATAAGCTTTGTGTGGTCCACTTTGTAATTAATTTCTGTTTAAAAACTAAGATTAGATAATACTTGCATTATATTTTCCTGTTGAGTAATTTAGAGTATGTAGACAACATTCATGTATGCTTTGCTTAATTAATAAAGGTGAAGGTGTTTAATTAAGAAAGCAAAGTTTAGAGCAAACAAACAAACAAAACAAGCAAAGATGATGCCGTTTGGTTAGCGGTGAGATGCGCCGTTTGATTAGCGGTTATTTTCTTTGTCTTGTAATTTCTTGGTGAAATAAAGATTGTCACACCGCTAAGTTCAAGCGGTTAAGTGGGTTTTTTTTGCTCTTAGAGATATGTATATTTTTGCTCTTAGAGATATGTATCTTATATATATGATGGAAGTTGGTGAATAAAGGAAGAACAGTCACTTCTTTTCTTTCTTTCACTTGTTTGCAATTGTTTTTCTAGAATTATCATCATCATAATTATCAAAAGTTTGATTACATTAGATCACAAACATACTACACGTTGTTGTGATTGTCTTCGTTATATCTCCTTGTAATTTTGTAATACCTGTGTGTATAATAGGGTTGAAATATTACTTTGATAAAGTGATTTTGTTCACGCCTCGAAGTGATTAAATATGTCCAATTTCGTTTCATTTTTGTGACCCGGTAATTCAATTTCCCCAACATTTCCAACTAAATTTTTTAATTTCAATCGATCAAATGTGATTTATGTGACACACAAAGTATTATCTTGTGATAGGATGGTAAATAATCTCTTAATTCTTAAAAGATTGCTCCGTATACTAATTTGAATGTGTTCAAAGGATTGATTTGTATTGAAATTTTTTACTTGCAGTTTCACTTGGCCTCCCTATTTATCTCATCGGTAATAATTGTGTCCATCATTTATGTCCAGCAGTTAAAAGTAAGGTTAAAAGGATTTTTGACAAAAACTTACAAACATATAAATTTAAGGGTACTTATCCTAATTTTACTAGTTATCTATTGTGATGAAGTGAATCAAACACGATCTTTATTATGAATCTCTCAAAAACCGTAACCAGTAACCACCACACTCGTATGGTACCTTGTACGAAAAGGAGGGTGAGAATGGTGGAGCAAAAACGCGGAATTTAACCTCTAAAAGTCCGAAAATGACGAGTCTTAATGTATTACAGCAAGAACGTTGGAACTTGAGATAAATCATGTTGTTACATTACAATTGCATTGCATAGGAGAAAAGGACGGCATTTTTGGCGGCATCAACCAACTAAAAGTAAAGTTGCTACGGCGTATAATATGTCGGTGATCCGTAACTTATTGGGCTTTACTTGGCCCGTAAGGCCCACGTGCTCTGTTTAGATCAAACTGCTCCCTTCCTACTAAATCTTTTTTTTTTTTTTTTTTTTTTTTTTAACTTCTAAATCTTGGCTTTCCTTTTGCCTTTTTAGCACCTTTTTGAGCTTTACAGTGCATTATTCTTATATTTCCCGCTATTATAAAGTTTAATTTATATTTATGTAGTTATTAAAATCGTGACATCCTCGTCCAAAAAGCATGAAGATAAAAAGGGGAGCAAAAAAATAAACATGTAGATCGCATCATTTGTTGGTTAAATTTACAGCTCATGTTTTATTCTTGATCTATTGAAGTTAACTACTTTTTTCATATTCCAAAACGAGTTAAAACCCATAATATATATAGTATACTCTTTCAGTTAAATTAATGGTTAAAGACTTACAGTTTTATTTTTAGTCGTTTTGATATAATGGTTACGTTCTCACTTTTTCTTGGGAGTTGTTAAACGTCGCTCGCTTTTTACAAGCCGTCGCTCGCTTTTTACAAGCCATCGCTCGCATTTTGAGCTTGAAATTCCTAATTTGCCCCTAGTATATAAATACTCACGAAACTCGCCCACAACACATTTCACCCTCGTGTTTCTCTCTCTAAAAATTTCTCTCTCTAGAATTGCTAATTCTCTCTCAAAAATCAGAAATCAAAATTTTTTTTTTATTTGTTTGGAAAAAAAAAGTTTGTGAAATATTGAAAATCAAAATCCAAAAAAACAACAAACCAACAACAACAATCGGAAATCACTGCAATGGCTGACGGGCGGCGGATTCGGCTGACGTTCGGCGGTCGTGACGGCGGCGGCGAGCAGGTAAACGTCGTTTTTTTTTAATTTTTTTTTCTGGAACCAAGGGACATCCGCCTGAAATTTCCGGATGTCCCACGGAACTTCCGGAAATTTCAGGCGGATGTCCCTTGGTTCCAGATTTTTTTTTTTTTATTTTTTTTTTATTTTATTTTTTTTTGTTTTTTTTCTCGGTTATATGTGATTTTTTTTCTCGGTTGTTGTTAAATTATTTTGTTGTTGTTGTGGTTTTTGTTGTTGTTGTGGTTTTTGTTGTTGTTGTTGTTGTTGTTGTTATTGTTGTTGTTGTTGTTGTTATTGTTATTAGTATTGCTATTATTAAATTTAGGCTTTGTAAGTAGGATTATTAGTATTGTTGTTGTTGTTGTTGATGTTGTTGTTGTTGTTCATGTTGTTGTTGTTATTGTTATTAGTATTGTTATTATTAAATTTAGGCTTTGTAAGTAGGATTATTAGTATTGTTGTTGTTGTTGTTGATGTTGTTGTTGTTTGTGTTATTGCACGTATTTACTATAGATTGAGGGTTCGGGTCCTCGTCACGCAATATCTAGACGTTTGAATGCGTCAGTTAGGCGGGACTCAAGCCGTTTAGGAAATACGGCCGAACCGTTCGATCACCAGCAGCAATATAGGTCCGCTGGTAAATGGTCGGGAGAGCATCAGGCACAAAGCAGCCCCGCCATGTACTCGTCGGCTGGAGTGCCTACATCTGATGATGAGGACGACGGGCGGTCAAGTCAGGGTGATCGCGATTCAGAGTATGACCCTCTGGATTATCATACGGTGCATAGGGGTCAGACTGGGAGGTTTGTGAGCAGTAGTCAAACCAGTCAGCCATCCACTAGCGCAACAGAGGCATGGGTAGTGCACGAGCCGATGCCAGGTGGTCCTGAGGACGGGACTGTTATCCCTAGTTTTGGGGGGCACGTGGCTGCGTATATATGGGGCGGGCAGGAGCGTAATGTTTTGCGCTGTTTGAGCAGGACACAGTTGTGTTCTGAATTGGTCACCTGGCGAGGTCGTCTTGTGCAGGAGCATCTGGAGCTGATTGACGGTAGTGGTCTGTCGCACCTGCCTGGGATCATGTTCAGGCGTTTTGACTGGCCGTTGATATCAGCTTTTGTTGAGAGATGGCAGCCCGATACGAACACATTTCATATGCCATTCGGGGAGATCACCATCATGCTGCACGATGTGTACAACATTCTAGGGCTTCGTGTAGATGGTGGCCTAGTTTCTGCTACTCCGGGCACGGACATCCTACGGGACGCGTGCTCGGTAACCCTGGACATGACAGCAGAGGAGCTGAACGAGAAGCACGGTACGAAGACCATTTGGCAGGGTAGTGGGGTACTGACTGAGACGATTTTAGAGTCGACCTTGGAGGCGCAGAGGCCCTTCAGTGTCCATTATACTGCGTACATGTGGTTAGTACTTGACGGTTGTCTGTTCCTGGACAAGAGTGTTAACCGTACGCATCCGTCCCTCCTGAGCGAGCTTGTTGTTGATGCGCTGTCGGTGACTGACTACTCTTGGGGCTCAGCGGCTCCAGCGTATTTGTATCGGCAGTTGGGGACGGCATCTAGAAAAGATGCCGATTCGATCGCTGGTTGTCTCACGCTTCT